AGGGTTGCCAGCCTCCAGGTGGGGCCTGGAGATCTCCCGCTTTTACAGCTGATCTCCAGCTGACAGAGATCAGCTCCCCTGGAGAAAATGGCTGCTTCAGAGGGTGGGCTCTGTGGCATTGTACCATGCTGAGGCCCCTCCCCTCCCCAAACCCCGCCCTCTCCAGGCTCCACCCCCAAAGTCTCCAGGTATTTTCCAACCCAGGCCTGACAACCCTAGCCCCATCCCTCCCACCTTCCACAGACATCATTCCCTTCACAGACCAGTCTAGAGTAATTCATTCCCACATTATGATTTTGCACAGGCAAATGATTTACAGAAACACAGTGCAAACGAAAATCATAGCAACGGGGACCAACTGTGAGATGCGTGGGGATGGAATCAATATATTCGGGGAAGACGGATCCTTTGACACAAACATTTCTTCCTAATCCACAAGGGAAACAGCAATCTGGGTTTCAGTGTGCTGGGACTCCCAGAATTAAATGCTCTCCAATTCCCCTTTGGTGGATGTAGCACCGGATGCAAAACAAGACTCTCTCTGCTGCAGGGCTATACAAACAGTTTTTTTCATTTTGTTTTGATTTTTAAACTTACCAGTTTTATATAGCCTTGGGCATCCAGAATTAAATTTTCCGGCTTCAGGTCCCTGTAGATAACACTGATGCGATGCAAATATTCTATGGCTTCCGTCACACACCCGACGCAGAACTTTGTAGTGGTTTCATCAAAACTGCCTCTAAAACAGAGTAACCCGTTTTGGTTTTTATCTCTCCAAATAAAGACAGATACAAGCAGTGTTGCCAACCTCCAGGTGGGGCTTGGAGATATCCAAGAATTACCGCTCATCTCCAGACTACAGAGATCAGTTCCCCTGGAGAAAATGGCTGCTTTGGAGGGTGGACTCTGTGGCATTATACCCCAGTGAGGTCCCGGTCCTCCCCAGGCTCCAACCCCAAATCGCCAAAAGTTTCCCCAACCTGGATCTGGCAACCCTGAACTCCCCCCCCCCCACTAGTGGCCGGGGGGGGGGGGCGGCAACCCTATCCAGACCCCATCTGGAGGTTGGCAAAAGTACACACAATTGCTTCCCTTACACAAAGTTTTAGGTTATCATGCTTTGGTCACATCATGAAAAGAGAAAACTTAACTGGAAAAGGTAACGATGCTAGGAAAACTCGGAGGCAGTAGGAAGAGAGGGAGACGCACCATGAGATGGATTGCGGCCCTCGCTTTGCAAGACCTGAGCAGGGCTGTGAATGACAGGGCGTTTTGGAGGACATTCATTCATAGGGTTGCTGGAAGTCAGAAGCAGCTTGGCAGCACGTAACACACACTCAGCTCCAGATTGGGAAATTCCTAAAGATTTGGGGGTGTGGGTGTGGCCTAGGGGGCAGGGTTTGGTAGGGGAGGGAACTCAGTGGAGTATAATGCCATAGAGTCCACCCACAAAAGCAGCCATTTTCTTCAGGGAAACGGATCTCTGTAGTCTGGAGGTCAGTTGTAATTCTGAGGAGTCCCCAGGCCTCACCTGGAAGTTGGCAACCCTACAGGGCTTTGATCTACCAGTGGAGGCTGTTCTGTTTGCACAAGCCCAATTCCTTCTCCTTATCGCAGCCCCCCTCTTATCGCAGCCCTCCTTATTGCATGCCACAAGGCATATTATACAGGAGCCTCCCTGAACCTGCAGCAATGGGAGAGACCTCACTTTCCCAAATTCCTTCCACTCACAGGAGTTTGGATCTAGAATATTTAAATGAATATTCAATCAAACATTCCTATCACCAAATAGGAAAAAAAATACTACGAACAACTTTTCTATCGTATTGATTATTCTGATAGTAAGTAAAACAAGCCCATTTCTCTTCCGTTGTCTCTCTACCCTTAACATTTCTGTTCTAAATGTCCCCTGAGTAAAATTGCCTGATTTTATACAGCCAACTCATCACTGGCCTGATCAATTGATTATTCCGATAGTAAGTAAAACAATCCCATTTCTCTTCCGTTGTCTCTCTACCCTTAACATTTCTGTTCTAAATGTCCCTTGAGTAAAATTGCCTGATTTTATACAGCCAACTCATCACTGGCCTGATCAGCAACATCTCTCTGCACTTGGAATTCCAAAGCCTCCTTGTCATATCCGTTTCTGCCCGACTTTAAGTGAACCGTCCTACAGTTATGACATTGAGTAAAATCAATCATGAAGGACAATAATCTTTGTAACAGAAAAGAGAATTTGATAAAGGCTGCAAAAAAAAATTAATGGTATTTTTTATAAGATGGTATTGAAGCACATTAAATTGGAAAGCTGCCTTGGGCACCCTGGATGAAGGAGGAGGACCGAATGTACCAAATGAATTAAATAAAGCCAAGCCCCACTGAATTCACATAGAATTCACATCTTGATAAAACATCCATCTTAGCATGGTGGCTCCAAGATGGAAGGTTTTTCTCCAGGCCAGTTTGGCTGGAGATCCTGGAGGTTTCTTGTCATCTTGTGGGAATGGGGAAGGAGGTATTTGTGAATTTCCTGCATTGTGCAAGGGGGTTGGACTAGATGACCCTGGAGGTCCCCTTCCAACCTGATATGGTTGGATCCTGCTAGGCTTACATGGACATTGAAGTCTTCCAGGGCCAGAAGTCTGGGGGCCTCCGGCACCCATGCAAAGACCAAGACCAACTCAGCCGATTCCAGCAGAGAAACCATTAGACGGTGGGTATCAGAATCCAGAGTCAGGGAGTCCAGCATCAGAAATAAATCCTCACTTTGGTGAATAAGCAACACATAGGGTCGCCAACCTCCAGTTGCTGATCAACCAATACAAACAACTATGATGTAGTTACTAAGAACGTATTTTATGTCAATTTCGATGCAAATCTCTTATATTACTTAGACCCTATAAAGATCTTTAACAAGAAGAGATACCAAAGAATTGTACAGAACATGTAATTTGTCTATACTGAATAAAGTGCTTAGGTTGAATACCAGTCCATATAGTGACTCTGAACATCCAATTTTCAATGTCTTCATCCGTTCAAAGTTCTAGGTGACATCCCTCCTATTTGTGCTGTAAGCAAAGACACATTCTTTCTCCACTTATTTTAATAGCCAACGGGACAGCTCGAAAACCTGTTCCCACTCTTCTACAGGGCAAATTCCGCAGCAGAGGGATCTCGTAAATCTTCCATTTGACAATTCAGTGAGCTCCGCTCTGTGAAGTCTTTTCAAAACAGGCAGCCGGCTAACCTGTGGAAATTCTAGTCTCCTCAGAGAAAATGGCTGCCTTGAAGGTCAGAATCTATGGGTACCGTACCCTGCTGATGTCTCTCTCTGGGTTCCACTCCCCAAATCTCCCAGAATTTACTAACCCGGACTTGATAACCGTGGTAACAAGCTGTCCAGTTATGGTGAAGTACTTACAATAAGACCATGGCAAGACCACCACCCCCCCACTCCCATTCCAGGACATCGGGTTGAGCCTGCTATTGTACTGGGAAAACTAGGAGGCACACTTGAAACAAAATGTTTACAGCCATGTTGGACCAAAGCTAAAAAGCCAAAAAGACAAGAACACAATTCATATGATACCTTTATTGGGACCAACCCAATGACACGTAACGGTGCGCAAGGTTTTGGTTTTTTTAACACCATGAGCTGAAGAATAAAAATTGGCTTCCCCCCCTCATTTTTAGCATCTGGCCTGAGGAATTGCCCAGGGGAACTCTAAAAGTTTACACGTCGTTATGTGCCATTGGGTTGGTCCTAATACAGTTATTGCATGGACTGTGTTCTTGAGAGTTGAGACAGACCAACTCTACCCCTTTCGTCCGTCCAGATCTCAAAAATGCATGCAAGGTCAGCCCAGTATTAAACCCTGGATGGAAGATGCATTAATGTTCACTGACTCTACATTCAACAACAGGACTTTCAGACTTGGGGGCTGTCTGGTACAAACCCCAAACACGCTGAGGTTGGGAAAAGATAAGAAGAAAGCCTGTAAAGGCTCTAAAGTCTGTTCTTTTATTTTTAGCTGCCCAGCTGCAGCCAACTTATGGCGATGCCTCATGGGGTTTTCCACGCAAGAGATGAACAGTGATGGTTCGCCATTTCCCACGTCTCTGTAGCAACCCCAGTCTTTCTTGCTGGTCTTCCATCCAGACACTAAATAGGACTGACTCTGCTTAGCTTCTGAGATCTCTAGCCTGGACTATCGAAGTCAGGATAATAATAATCGTGTGCCATCAAGTCACAACTGGCTTATGAAAACCCGCATGGGCTTTTCAAGGCAAGAGATGAGCAGAGGTACTTTACCATTGCCTGGCTCTGCACATCTCTGGTGGTCTCCCATCCAAGTAATAACCAGGGCCAACCCTCCTTAGTTTCCGAGATCTGATGAGACTGAGCTAACCTGGGCGATCCAAGTCAGTGCAATCATAATCGTGTGCTGTGAAGTCACAACTGACGTACAGCAACCTCTCATGGGGTTTTCAAGCCCAGAGATGAGCAGAGGTGGTTTGCCATTGCCTTCCTCCACATAGCAACCCCAGTCTTCCTTGGTGGTCTCCCATCCAAGTACTAACCAGCACCAACCCTGCTGAACTTCCAAGTTCTAATGAGGCTGGGCTAGTCAGGGCTATTCAGACTGCAACCTCTTCTTCTATTCTGGCTAATTCCATTGTAGCCCTTCTGACTTATACAGTGGAGATGCTAAAATTAGTGGAGCGCCCATACACCCAATCCCCACTCCGGTTCCCCAAGCACATCCTATCTCTGGCACAGGAAAGAGCAGCAAGAAGGATAATCAATAGGATATCTAGAGAAAATGTGCAAGATAATAAATCAAGCATGCCGAGAAAGAAAAACCACCCTTCCTAGAGGCTCATTTCCACCTTTAAAGAGTTCTGAAGTATTGCCTGAGAAACATTTCTGACCACAGACCACATTTTTTTAAAAAAAGCAAAAAGTTTGCATTTGAGAAGCAGAACAGCTCTGCCAAACTGACCTTCAAGCTTCTGAAAATCTGTCCTCTCTAGACAATCTCTCATGCGTCAGACCAATCTAATATGACACGGGCCTTAAGAGCTGTGTCTTTGGATTAAAAGACATCTTTAGCGGTTGTAATCTTCATACAGAAAATGCCAGAGGCGGAATGGGAAAAGGTCTGATGTTACCTGTCCCGCAGGATACTCCAGAGTTCGCCTCCCAGACAGGCTTCCAAGAGCATGTAAACGTATTTGTTGTCTTTGAAAGTGCGGTACAACCTGCAGCAAAGGGGAACAAGAACACAAAATCTCAACCATTCTGCTTTATTTTATTTTTTTAAAAAGCCTTCTAGGATGTGTCTCCAGCAAGGGATTTTTTTTCCTGGCTAAGGGCTCTTCCGCATTGACATTTTACTCACTGTTAAGTTCCTATTTCTTCGGGGGTTTTCTTCCTGCTCCGCACACGTTTTGCTCCCTCTCAGGGTCAATTTGATATCAAACACCTTTGTTTCCAAAACAACATTTGAGTCCAGTGGCTCCTTTAAGTCCAACAAAATTTTATTCATGATACATGCTTACACGTGTCTGTATCTGACGAAGTGTGCATGCACACGAAAGCTGATACCTTGAATTAAACTTTGTTGGTCTTAAAGGTGCCCCACTGGACTCAAATTTTGTTCTGCTGCTTCAGACCAACACACCTACCCACCTGAATCTAGCTTTATTTCCAGTTTATCTCCTGGTAGGGAGATAAGCAGGAAATAAAGCTGTTCGATACCGAATCGACCACTAGAGGGAGCAAAACAGGAAAAAAAGACCTGATGAAAAAGGAATTTAACAGCAAGTAAAATAAAAATGTGGAAAAGCATGAAGGCTTGATTTGAACATGATGCAACACTTTCCTGTAGGTCTTTTCACTTACACGGCAGCCAGCGCATTTAAACTGGACTACAGACCATGGTACCTATATATGCCATATAGCTGCTTGGCAGGGGCAGAGCCCAGTTCAAATGAGACACACTGCAAGGGTTCTGTGGCTCAGTGGAAGAGCCTTGGCTTTGCATGCAGAAGGTCCCAGGTTCAATCCCCGGCATCTCCAGTTAAAAAGGACCAGGCAGTAAATGATGTGAAAGACCTCTGCCTGAGACCCTGGAGAGCTGCTGCCAGTCTGAGTAGACAGTACTCACCTTGATGGACCAAGGGTCTGATTCAGTATAAGGCGGCTTCATGTGTGAACAAGCCCAAAATCCCATGGGTGAGGTCCTTTGTCTCACCGGCATGGCATTTAAATCAGGCCTTAAACTTTCCTTGTACTTGACCAGGATCCAACATATTCGGCATATGGACTGTTTCCCAAGTTAAAAAATCCCCATGTCCCTAGGGCTGCCAACCTCCAGGTGGGGCCTGGAGACCTCCCGGTATTACAGTTGAGCTCCACATGACAAGAGATCAGTTTCCACTGGAGAAAATGGCTGCTTTGGAAGGCGGACATCAGGGCACTGCATCCTGCTGAGGTCCCTCCTTTCCCCCAAATCCTACCCCCTCATCACGCGCCCCCCCCAAAATCTCCAGGTATATGGCAACCCCACACGTCCCCCCCCCATGTGTCTGCCACAACTCCTGCTAACGGACATGCCCTGGGAGTTCCACGCATGGAACTGCACCCCCAGCTGAACTGCAAAGAGGGGTGATTTGTGGAGGGAGGAGGGAGGAGGAAACTGGAGTTATGGGAGAGCCAGTGTGGTGTGTGGGTGACTGGGACCAAGGCTCCCTCTAAGCAGTGCAGTCTTGCGAGCAAAAACTGTGCTTTGTGAGCTACTGGCATTAAAGTTGTGAGCGAGCTATTTGGCTGCTGCATCAATCAGTTCGCTCTGGAGCAATGTTCCCTCTAAGCAGTAGAGTCTTGTGAGCAAAAATTCTACTTCGTGAGCTACTGGCCTTAAAAGCTGTGAGGGAGCAATTTGACTACTGCATAAATTAGTTTGCTCTGGAGCCATCCTTCCTGAGCTAAGACAAAAATGTGTGAGCTGGAGGCTAAAAAACTGTGAGCTAGCTCACACTAACTCAGTTTAGAGGGAACACTGCTCTGGAGCCACCTTTCCTGAGCTAAGACAAAAAATGTGTGAGCTGGAGGCTAAAAAACTGTGAGCTGGCTCACACTCACTCAGCTTAGAGGGAACACTGCTCTGGAGCCCTCCTTCCTGAGCTAAGACAAAAAATGTGCGAGCCGGAGGCTAAAAAACTGTGAGCTAGCTCACACTAACTCAGCTTAGAAGGAACCAGGCCTGTAGCTACAGTGGGGCATCTCGGGGCTGGGCCCCCTGACTAACCGCCCTGGCCTCTCGACTTCCCGTCCAGTTGGTTTATTTTATTTTTCTTGTGTGCCACAGCCACACTGAGACCAGCCATTGCCCTGCCCTGCCTACCGGCACTGTACCTCTGACTGGCTGCAAGCGAGGCATGCCACAGGGCACAACTGCTCCCCACTCCATCCCTCTCTTTCTCTTGTTGGTTTTTAAAACTTTTACTCTCTCGCTGCTCCTGGCACAGTGCCCCCCCCCCAAATCGAAAATCCTGGCTACGGCCCTGGAGGGAACGCTGACTAGGACCAAAGGAGGCTTAAGTGCTTCCACAGGGGCACGGCAGGAAACAGTGGGAGCAAGTCTCCATGCAGAAGAACCACTGCTGCCGCCAAAATATTTCCATTTGCAGCGGCAGTCAGAGCAGAATGTGGACTCGTCCCTGTGCGGAAGCAACTCTAGGTTCAGAGCCCTGCTCAGACATGATCTCAGGCCAGGGGCTGTCTTGGCCTCATTCACCATACAGGGCTGTTGTAAGGACAATCTAAGGTAGACGAGGACTATACACACTCCCCCAAGTCCTGTGAAGGAAAAGGGGCAAGATAAAAATGTGATAAGTGGACAAACCGGAATACCGTTCAACTCTTTCTGTACGAGCAATTACAATAAAATGCAAAGGCTTTTTTAAAAGAAGAAAAACCCTTACTTCACAATGAACGGTGAACAGACTTCTTCTAGAATCCTCTTTTCTGAGTGAATGTGCTCTTGCTGCTTGGTATCCACTACGTGCTTCTTTTTGATACATTTCATGGCAAAAGCTGTATTCTCATTCTTGACTTTAACCTGCGCATGCACAGATGGAGACAAAATGACGAGAAAGAAGAAGAAGACAAAGAGCTGGTTTTATACCCTGCCCTTCACTACCCAAAGGAGTCTCGGAGTGCCTTACAATCTCCTTCCCTTCCTCTCCCCACAACTGACAGCCTGTGAGGTAGGTGGGGCTGAGAGAGTTCTGAGAGAGCTGTGACCGACCCAAGGTCACCCAACCGGCTGCATGTGGAGAAGTGGGGACTCAAACTCGGTTCTCCAGATTAGAGTCTGCTGCTCTTAACCACTATACCAAACTGGCTACACAAAGGATACACAAACGTGAGTTCCCCCTTCCACTCCCTCCCACCTGCCAGTCTTAGCTCTGATTTAGGATTCTGCAAGCCCAGAGTAACCACAGATTTGAATAAATAGGCTATGTTTAAAAACAAACAAACAAAAGCCACTAGTCTGGTGGCAGGGGTAGTTTGATTTCCATAGCAACCAGAAATGATAGCCAACACTGCAACAATGGCAAATCACACTAGAGACTACTTTCTTCTTATACAGTTCTACTTACAACCAAAATGAATACACATGACAAATAGTTTTGCCACCAGGCATAAAAACTGCACCAGTTGAACAGTGATCTAATAGTCCTTGAAAGTACAAGTCTCTCTTCAGATCGATGTGGGCATAGAAAAGAGCGTGCAATAGACAGCATGAGCTCAGGACTAGCTGTAGTGCAAACCAAAAGAGTGGTGACTGTAGCCTGTAGAAACGTTGCTTTGCCGTTTCTTAGGGCTTCATCAGGCCACTTTTCTTTAGTGATAGAGCTCAACCCACCTCTGGCAAGACTCAAAATGACTTACGAAGTCTACAAGAATGTTCCAAGCAGCTAAGAATCAGGCTCTGATCACCAGCCTACGGTGGCTAGCTTAAAAGCATGCCATCCATTGCACGCTGTCTTCTGGAAACTCTTCTCTGCACCATGAGCCGGTGACCACATCAATCTGAAGAGAGACTTGTACTTTCAAGGACTGTTAGGTCACTCTTCAACCGGTGCAGTTGTCACTGATGCATGGTGGCAAAACTATTTGTTATGTGTATTAATTCTGGTTGTAAGTAGAACCGTATAAGAAGACAGTAGTCGCTAGTTTGATTTGTACAGCGCGACAGATTACTCTGTTTATTCGTTTGTATAACCGCATTTGCTGTATTTCTCTTTTTGTCTGCTTGTACCACCTGGAGGCTGGCAACCCTAACTTTTGTCAGTTTTACACTGTAATCCTAAACTGAGTTACAACTTTCTAAGGCCACTGACTTCAGTGGATTTAGAAGGGTATAACTTGTTTTTGGGCGCAAACGTCCGTGCGCATATAATTTTGGCCTTATTTGCCTTGGCACCTAACATGGTGACAACCCATGGTGACAACACCGGTAGCTTGAGAATGATACTAATATAGTGGTCGGCAGAAGCATTTATTGTGTGGATGGAAGTGTTTGCTATATGAGCCGCAACAGGGCTTCCGTGTTCAAAAATGCCTTTAAAGACACAGTGCTGAAGCCTGAGAACACACAAGAAGCTGCCTTCTACTGAATCAGACCCTCAGTCCATCAAGGTCAGTATTGTCTACTCAGGTCCCTGCCACACGGCAAGAAAAACACTGGCCAAAGTGCGGCTAATTAGAGCCGCACCAAAATAGAGACGCCACGGCAGGATCGATCCCACGGCTGGCCTTGATGCGGCCGTCGCAGAAGAACCACCTCGGTAGGTGGTTCATTTTTGCTCCATGTTTTGGGCGGAAGGGCCGGATCGGGGACGGGTGCGCAACGCTTCCCAGATGTTGCGGTGGGATCGCGCCCGTTTGCTCCGCCCCCGATCCGTCCCTCTCCCGGCCCAAAACCTCTCGTATGACCGGGGCCTTAGTCTGGCAGCTGCTCTCCAAGGTCTCAGATAGAGGTCTTTTCACGTCACCTACTGCCTGGTCCTGTTTTTGATGGGAAATGCTGGGGTTTAACCGGGGACCTTCTGCATGCCAAGCAGATGTTCTGCCACTCAGCCATTGCCCCTCCCAAAAGGGGGGGGGAAGGGGACAAAATGCTCACACTGACATAACTATATCAGAACATTCAGACCAGGAGCCACACGGAGGTCTGAAAGGTGCATGCTTACAAGCTCAACTCTTCCGAAACCACCGACACCCAAGGTAGCGACAATTTCCAGGTTTTGAAACGGACTGGAAGAAGGAAAGTGGGTTACTTTTTCTTTGAGCTGTATCAGCTCTAAAGAGACATCGCTGGGCAGCCGTTCAGAGGACGAAACTCTGCATGGGAGGAAAAAAAAAAGAAAGAATAAGACATCTTCTTCAGATTGTTGTCTCTGAAAATTCAACTGAGAATTCCTGCAGCGATCTGATAGCTTTCCAAAAAGCACTTCTGATGTCCTCATACATTATGCTCATGTACCCTTGGTATTTATCCTCGTTGTGCCTGGAAGTGGTGTGATGTGAGACTGATGCAAATGGATGGTGAGGATCAATGAATTAAACAAGCAAGCCAAAGTACTGAAATATTTAATTTTAACACTTCTTGACTTCCTTAATGGAGGTTTAAGCATCGCCATCCCCTAAGAATCTCTATGCAGCCTGAAAATCCACAGAAACACTTTTGGTGGTGAAAGTCAGTCCAGGAAAACACTTCACCTCAATACCATAATTTATTATGGGCATGGACCAGCAGAATAAAACATACGTTAGAGTATGTATAATACCAGTTATGGGTTCAATTAAAGGCACTGTTCACGACCTTGGACCTCATCTCTCATGCATACAGGCAGTTGCTGATTCTACCCATATGCAGGACCTGTAGAGAGCCTCATTCAGATGTGTGAAGTTGTCGTGGCGGAGGACAGGAAGAGAGGAAGTCCTGCAGATATGAGGCTCCAAGGTCATGAACGGCTTTGCATGTGAGGAGGAAGAGGAGGAGAAGAAGAGGAGGAGGAAGAGGACACTGGATTTATATTTTGCCCTTCACTCAGTGTGACTTACAATCTCCTTCCCTTCCTCTCCCCATAACAGACACCCTGTGAGGTAGCTGGGACTGAGAGAGCTCTCGGAGAACTGCCCGAGTGAACAGCTCTGCGAGAACTGTGGCTGACCCAAGGTCACTCAGCAGCTGCATGTGGAGCGGTGGGGAATCAAACCCAGATCACCCAAATTAGAGTCCGCGCTCCTAACCACTACACCAAACTAGCTCTGCATTGAACGCCTAACTGATGGGCAGCCGATGGAGTGATTGTAGAATGGGTATAATATTCACGTACCACGTGATTCCTGATAAGAACTGAGCGGCAGCTTTCTGCACCAAGCTGGCTTCCCAAGCTGATTTTCGGGAGAGACCTATATAGAGTGCATTACAGTAGCGCTGCCTCAGTGTTACTGCAGCCTGGATCCAGGTGCTCGCATCAGCTGGATCAAGGCAGGGGGCCATCTTCCAGGCCAAACTAAGTGGGAAGGAAGTTTTCTGCCGCTGCACTAATCTGCTTCTCCAGCAGCCATGCTGGAACCGGTATTAGCTCTACATAAATCAGCCAAGGTCAGCTGAACCCAATCAAAAGTGGGAGGCACCAGGGCTTTTTTTGTAGAAAAAGCCCAGCAGGAACTCATTAGCATAATAGGCCACACCCAACAGCAGACTCATTAGCATATTAAGCCACACACCTTACATCACAGCTCATTAGCATATTAGGCCACACCCCCATGTTACCACACTCACCTTTTGCTTCTTATTCCGTTTACTTTGTTTGTTGTCAAAACCCTGGGCTTTTTTTGTAGCAGGAACTTCTTTGCATGTTAGACCACACACGCCAACTGTAGCCAATCCTAATGAGTTTCTGCTGTTGGGTGTGGCCTATTATGCTAATGAGTTCCTGCTGGGCGTGGCCAACTCAGGAGCCAGCCAGAACTCCGTTCCTGTGCGTTCCTGCCCAAAAATAGCCCTGGGAGGCACAATGTCCTTCAAGACCCCAGGCTTCCCCAAAAGCATTACCTCAGTCTTGTGTGGGTTCAGTTTCAATGTGTTCACCCTCAGCCATTTAACCTCAGCAGCCGAGCGGTGGCTCTGCCACAGCCCCGGAAGGTTTGGACAGAGAGACAGACACAGAGCTGGGTGTTGTCAGCATACTGACGGCATCCGGGACAAAAACGATGAATGATTGCTCCTCGGGTCTTTATGCAGAGCTTGAATAGCATGGGGTGGTGGTGGTGGTGGACAAGACTGTGTCCTGTGGAACCCCATAGGGCAAATCCACACTGATGATCACTGGTCCCCAGTAGCAACTCTTTGAGTCCAGTCTGTAAGGAATTATTCAGACCAATCCAAAGCACGTGCCCCTGATTCCCGCTTCTGCCTCCAAACATTTCAACAAGGTAGCATGGTTTACTTTTATCGAAGGCAGCAGACAAATCCAGTAGGAGCAACAAAGAGGCGTGGCCTTTGTCTACGCACAGACTGAGATCACCAAGTAAAGCCACCCCCAACGCCGTCCCCGTCCCCTAGTTCAGCCTGAAGAGAGCCTGAAAAGGGCCCGGAGCACATGAGCTATACCAGAAGGCCTGGATTTGGTTCGCTACCACCCTCTCGCAAACATCTTGGTCAGAAAGGGCAAATTATACACAGGGCGATAATTCATCACGTCACTTTTTTTTGTGGTAGTGGAAAAGTGCTATCAAGTCACAGCCGATTTCTGGTGACCCCCATAGGGTTTTCAAGGCAAGTAGGATGGCTTATCCCTAGCTGGGAAATACCTGGAGGTTTGGGGGCGGAGCCTAAGGTGGGTGGAGTCTGGGGAGGGGAGAGACTTCAATGGGGTTCTAACGCCACAGAGTCCACCCTCCAAAGCAGCCAGTTTCTCCCGGGGAACTGATCTCTGTCACCTGGAGATCACTTATAATACCAGGAGGCCTACAGCTATCACCTGGAGGTTGGCAACCTTTAGGCAAGAGACATTCAGAGATGGTTTGCCATTGCCTGACTCTGTGTCGCAACCCTGATCTTCCCTGGTGGTCTCCCATCCAAATACTAACCAGGCCCAACCCTGCTTGGCTTTCGAGAGCTGATGAGATCGGCTCGCCTGGGCCATCCAGGGCAATGCCTCTTTTCCGTAGGAACGGTTTTTAAAGAACAGATGACTACTCCTTTGAGTGGGTCTGGGAAAGTGCCCTGGGTCAGTTATTAAGGTTCCCTAATGAGGAGGCAGAACTAGATGTTCCACGCTTTTTGTCAGGGGAAAAGACATTCCTGCAACTTTGGCAGCAGGCTCGATCTATCTCAGAAGGGACCGGAAGCCTGGATAAGCTGCAGCATTTTAAAGGTCCTGGACGATGAAGCAGGAGAAAAGAACAAGAGCCCAGTAGCTCCTTAAAGACTAAAGTGCGAGATAGAAATTAAGATGTGGCAAATGATGTGAATATTCCAGTTGAGTGTAGGTGTTCAAAGTGGAAGAAATTTACTAAAGGTGATAGAGATGTATGGACAAGAAAATTAATGGTTATGGAAAAATGGTTAGATTTATTGGCTAAAATAATATGGAGGAGTGTGAGTGATGCAATAAGAAATGTCAGTTGGTTAAATATTAGGAAGAATTTAAAACAAGAATATGTTTAACTAAATTGTCAATGTGGAGTATTGTGAAACATTATTGTGAAGAATCTTTGTGGTGATTTGTGTATGTGTGTCTATTAAGCACAAAACCCAATAAAAATAATTATTTTTTTTAAAAAAAGACTAAAAAAAAAATGTAGCAGGGGATGAGCTTAAGTGAAAAAGTGAATAGAGACTCACAAAAGCTCACCCCTACCTACCACAAATTTTGCTTGTCTGTCTGTCTGTCTATCAATCATCCATCTATCACTGGCTATCACGTTAAGCAGAAATTAGAACCAAAAAAAAAACATTTTAAAAGACCTTACTCAGAATCTTGCTAGTCTTTAAGGTTCTACTGGACTCTAGCTCTTTTCTCCTGCTACAGACAGACTAACACGGCCGCCCGTCTTGATCTATCTTGAAGCTGAAGCTTCTTCATATGTCAGAGGGGGAGTTTCTGTCCTTCTAGCACAGAAAAGCAATTCATAAACCTCAGCAACATTAATAGGAAAGGGGAAGGGGGTTAAAAAGCTTAATCTGAAGGATGATCCCGCTGGAACAGAACATGAATTTTTCAAATTAAGGTTCCTCCGCCCCCAATGTCAAAACTGGATGCAGACGAGCCACGGATGTCGCTTATGGTTCTATTTAAAGCCTCTTTTTAATGGCAACATTTCATGAGACATTAGATATTGATTGCGTCCTCTCTGTTTGGATACCTCGGGCCTGAAATGGTAATTTGTTTGATGAACAGTCAGCTGGCTATTGCCTCGCTTCGTGGCCTTCTGTGACTTTGTCATAATGAACCAAAGCAGGGCGGGGGGAGGTCGGAAAAATGGGTTGTCCGAAAGCCAGTGCTCACTTGAGTGCCAGTTCCGGTCCTACAATAATACTTATATGTATATGCCATTAAAACAGGGAGGATCTTTTTTTAAAAAAAACAAACCCAAAAGACTGATGCAGCATTGTATCACTCGCTATTATACTTAGCGAAGCCGGCATTTTTCTAGAGCTAATCGGTTTAAAAAGCAGAGTGCTTGTAAGAGAAAGTGGGGCTAAATGGGTTTTGTCTGCGACTGGACAATGTATCGAGCGGAGCCATTATGGAAGATAGCATTGGGGCTGCATTTAAGCCCAATATACATGACAGATCTCAGGATAATACAGGTTCTTGTTGGAGAGCGGTATGACTCCTTGGGTCGTGCTCATCAGACAGCAATCTGCTGGTGGTCCCCAGCCCCAAAGGCATCGGGCTGTCCTCAACCAACGTCAGGGCCTTTTCGGTCCTGGCCCCAATTTGGTGAGACTCTCTGCCAAACACCATCAGGGTGGGAATCTGATGCAATCCTGCAAGTGGGAGATGTTCCCCCAGGCTTTTGGTCGAGGACATCTTGGCTGGCGCCCTTCTCTGTTGTTTGCATCTGCCTCGCCCTCTTCCCCTCTGCCTGTGAAGTAGCCGGCAGCAATGCCCCCTCTAAGCTGTGGAGTCCTGTGAGCAAAACATCTACTTTGTGAGCTACTGGCATTAGAAGTTGTGAGGGGGCGATTCGGCTACTGCATAAATTAGTTTGCTCTGGAGCCATCCTTCCTGAGCTAAGACAAAAACGTGTGAGCTGGAGGCTAAAAAACTGTGAGCTAGCTCACACTAACTCGGCCTAGAGGGAACACTGGCCAGCAGTTGGAACTGGGACTGACTATTCGCCATCTGATTGTGGGAACGTTTTATTAATGTTTTAATTGGTTTTACCTTTTTTCTGTTTTATGAATACTGTACGTCGCCCAGAGCCCTGCCAAAGCAGAGACTCGGCAATTCATAAATACAATAAATAATAATAAATAATAAATTCTTCTAGACTTATCCAGACGTATTCAGACGTGCACTGGCACACAGACTATCCAAACTGTACTTGTGTAGGTTGTGTGCATAAAGTGCCATCAAGCCTCAGCCTTGGTGACCCCAGCAAGGGGCTTTCAAGGCAAGTGAGAAGCAGAGGTGGTTGGCCATGGCCTTCCTCTGCAGGGTCTTCCTTGATGCCAACCCTGCTTCGCTTCCGAGATCGGGCTATACCATCCTTGCCTTCCTTCCCACTTGCATAGGATATACCAAGGCAATCAGGAATCCTTGAAAAGCAATGCTCCTATAGATAAGCCTATGTATGTATGCCTGTATACGTGCAGCCTCTCTGAAGAACGAGCAGAACAGTTGTATTCCTTCTGGTCTCTTCTATGGGCAAATGAAAGGAGAAAGCACTCCCTAAGCAAGAAGCTCTGAAACAGGAGGCAGGTGGGAGGATTCAGGGTTGCAGCCAACACATCTGGGAGCCCAAAAAAGCCGCCTGACGATTCTGACAGCAGTGCCACATGTTACGGCAACAGAGACAGAAACACACATAGATGGATTAGAACGTTTTCTCTCTCGAGCGGCACTGCTGGAATACGACTGAAAGGAAAAGGCGACGGCATTGTATATTGGCACTGTAAAGTTGAGAGCTGATGTTATGGAGAAAATATAAATTACTACGTTTAGGTTTGCAAACAAAGGGGATTTTGAAAGCTAACAATGCTAAAAATATGAAAGAATATCTTAAAGGGACTAGATTGATATTATATAAGAAATTTGAACTAACTGCTGTGAAATACCTGTTTTTTTCTTTTATATTTTATTGTTATAAAATTGATTAATAATAGTAATAGCAGATAGGATAGAGAAAAAATGAATTGTTTATTGGGAACAGAATTTTACTTGATGATATCTGTTGTGGACTACAGATTAACAAAGGAAAAAAGGGAATTATCTATCTAAAGATGTTATGAACGAGACAATGGCTGGATACTTTTGAAGTGTACCGCTCTCTCTCTCTCTCTTTTATATAACTCTTTAAAAAACTAATGAACCTTGCCCATCAACAATGGATAAGCAGGAAAAAAAAAGGAAAAGGCGACGGCATCTGCCAAATAAATATCTCTCAGAACTGTAATTGTGACTGTTCTGAGATACACTAAATCTGAGAGGCTGGAAAGGTTTCAAAGAGTTGACTTAGCTTGTGTGTTTGCAGGAGTCTGAAGTGGCTGAAAACTTACCAAAAGGTCAAAACTTCATAACAAATTCACAAGACCAAATCAGTAGGGTTGCTGCGTCCCCTCTTGGCCACTGGCAGGGGTTGGGGGGGTAAGCAGGGGTCGATTTGGGGGGATCGTGGGGGATCGCGAGTCTGAAGTGGCTGAAAACTTACCAAAAGGTCAAAACTTCATAACAAATTCACAAGACCAAATCAGTAGGGTTGCTGGGTCCCCTCCTGGCCACTGGCGGGGGTTGGGGGGGTAAGCAGGGGTCGATTTGGGGGGATCGTGGGGGATCGCGGTCCCCCCGGGTGAGGTGCGGAGGGCAGGGGGAATGACTGGCAGGCATCAAGACCCAAGAGAGAGTTGAGATTGGTGTGATCAAGTCTCGGAGGAGGCTTGTATTACACTTTGATCCCCTCTCCCGAAGTGGGCGAGTGCATTCAGGGTGTGTGGCCTCATGACATACTTCCGGTGATGTCAGGGGGTGTGGCATATGCTAATGAGTTATGCTAATGAGTTCCCCTAGCTCTTTTCCTATGAAACGACCCCTGGGGGTAAGGGCTGCCAGATCCAGGTTGGGAAACTCCTAGAGATTTGGGGGCGGAGCCTGGGAAGGACAGGGGCCTCTGTGGGGTACACTGCCACAGAGTCCACCCTCCCAATCTGTAATTCCAGGGGATCCCCCACGTCCCACCTGGAGGCTGGCATCCCTACCGAATCAGAGGTGTAACAGCCTTGATGAGTTTTTAATGGACTTAGAAGAAGAAGAAGAGGAAGAAGAGATTGGATGTATACCCCGCCCTTCAGTACCCAAAGGTGTCTCAGAGCGGCTTACAAACTCCTTTTCCCTCCCCCTCCCCACAACAGACACCCTGTGAGGTAGGTGGGGCTGAGAGAGCTCTTGACAGAAACTGCTCTTTTTCAAGAACAGCTCTTATCAGAACTATGGCTTGCCCAAGGTCATCCAGCCAGGTGCAAGAGGAGGAGTGGGGAATCAAACCCGG